TACACAATTCTAGTCAAAATTATACCAAACTTAATCCCATTCCACCTTCTATCCTTGTCTACTCAGATTAACTAAATGTCCTTATCTCCATATCATGTGTCATCCATTATTCATCCCTGTAGTAATCTGTTCAGTAACCTCTACATTTACTTCCACTAAAAATGTTTAGTATACACAAGTATGTATCGTTAACTCTCCTGAAGAAAATTTACTAAATATGATGCACACTGATCATTTGTATATTTTTCTAATTCTAGCTATGAGCTGTTACAGTAATGATCTCAAGTTTAAGAATCTCTTCATCTTACCATTCTAGTTCCAATATTTACACAATATATGCTTTCATAACTGATCAGCAGACATTCCTACAACCTCAGTAATTTCTTAACTATTACCTCCAATTGCTGGCCTTACTGAGACTGTCCCTTGAAGATAGTCCCTTGCCTAAAATTCTCTCATTCTAAAGGTTGTAAGAGTGTGCTTTTATTCTGCAGTAGAGACCACCACTTTATGCATACTAGTCTAGCCCTCTCTCTCTTGATCACTTAAATATTTTGTGAAGATAATTAAACCAGACATCGTCTAAGCATAGCTGAGAACCTAGGATATAGTCATATAGCATCTAAGTCTGTGTTTATAGACACAATAATACACTATCCATCTTAACCCAAGATAATTTATGAGAAATTAATAGCAGACTTTACAGCAGATCGCAAACAAATGATACTCTTTATTTCCAAATACATCCAATGTGCATATATAAATGTGATGACAAAACTATGTCATTCAATGGTACTAGAACTGTCAAGAGTCATACTAGTGTTAGGGAATTTGAATTTTTTTTAGATTTGCAGGTTTAATTTATATAATTTTGGTGTTAGGAGACAGAAACACAAAGAATTCACTTGTTTTCCAACATGAAACATTAAAAATTATAGTAAAAAAGATAAGCAGCTGGGCACCAATGGCTCATGCCTATAATCCTAGCTACTTGGGAGACTGAGATCTAAGGATCATGGTTTGAAACAAGCCCAAGCAGAAAAGTCTGAGACTCTTTATCTCCAACTAATCACAGAAAAAGCAGGAAGTGGCACTGTGGCTCAAGTGATAGAGTGCTAGAGCAAAAGGGGCTCAGGGACAGCATCCAGACCCACAGTTAAAGATAAGCTACCTGAAGGTTCTCTAAACATATTTTGCTTTCAGACTCACTGTGTTCTTCTAATTATGGATTGTTTCCAATTAAATTTGTTTAGAAACTATTTCCATGTCTCTTCTTTCTTTTCTTCTTGAAATGTTGGGTCATTTCTCTAGAACATGAATACCTCTTCTTTGAAAAGTCAAAGCCTATCTAAATGCCTAAAATTTAGCTTTTATTGTTTGGACTACACAGTCAAATATGGTGCCCCTAAGCATATGAGGCTATTTAAATTGAATAAAAATAAACATTTAGGTTTTCAGTCAAACTAGCCATATCAAGCACCCAACAGCCACATGAGTGTGTGTGGCTCAGAGATTTCCATCATGACTGGAGTTCCATGAGATGTGTGGTTCTGTAACATCTTTCTGGCAGTAAGCTCTGAGAATACCACTAACTTCAAGTATCAATTTTGACTGATGGCTTACAAATCTTTCTGTAGCCTTTGTCCACTATCCTAATGTAAGACCTCCACGCAACTGTGTGGCTTCATCTTTGCTTTAAGGTCTATCAAAAAAGTGGTTGGTGGGAAATAATTATGTCAGTCACAAGGAAATCAATAAAGTATAGTGTAATCAAGAACGGAACTGATGTTTATGGTCAGGATAAGACTGAGTCTGAGACAAGTACAAATAAATAGTAATAAACCACAGTGTACATTAATCAAAAACAAAGCCCTACAAAGCTATCTTTCTAAACACAGTTGAAATATTCACCATCAATAAACTTACCTTTGATATAAAAGTTACATTATGATGACAACTTATAATTATCCCCAAAAATTGTAATTTAGCCTACATCAAACATTATTTTGTTTTCTGTATCTCTAATTCTTTTTTTAAAAGCTACTCAAAGCCAGGTGCCAGTAGCTATAGCCACAGCACCACTTCTGGTTTTTCTGGTGGTTAACTGGAGATGAGAGCTTCACAGGCTTTCTTGTCCGGGGCTGGCTTTGAACTATGACCCTCCGATCTCAGCCTCCTGAGTAGCCAGAATTATAGGCATGAGTCACTAACACCCCACATGAGAGCTAATTTTTAAAAACACAAAGTGAGTACTTAACTGAAATACAGTCAGATGACTAATGTATGAACATTAGACCAGGTCCCCAAATCTTCACCAAGAAAGTCAGAAAGTAATAAAAATGAAAGGCATTTCAAAATACTGTATGGTATATTCATTTATTAAATAAACATTTATCACCACTATAAAAGTCTAGAAGAGGAGGATAGTTAAACATTTAGCAGTGTTTATTAAAGTACCTACCGTGAACTTGGTTTTGGACCACATACACAAAGCTGTAACCTAAAGACAAAAAAGACAGGTCCCTGCCCTCATGGAGCTCACAGTCTAGCTGAAGCAGACAGCACAGACACAATGGCAAAGCAATAGCAAGCAATATGGAAGGACTGCTGCTGCCTGGAGAATGCAGGATAGGCTTCCCAGAAATGGAGACAGTGGAGCTGGGCCTTGGATGAGCAGATCGCCAGATGGAGGGGAAGGGGGAGCGCATTCCAAGCAGAGGAAACAGCACATAAGCAAGCAGAATCTTGAAAGCACATGCCATGATGCGGGATGAGTGGTCCAGGGAAGCTAGAGCAGAAAGGTGCACACAAACTAGAGATGAATTAGGTTTGGACTTTTAATGATGAACCATAACTGTTAGGAAGTAAATCTTCAAATTACACTACAGGTAGCTAAACTTTGCTTTCTGATAATGCATTCTCTTCATTTCATGAATATATGGAATCTTTCTGTAAATACTCGGCACTATGTTTAGTTTTATAAAGAAAACATAGATATAAATCTTAAGAGATATATAGCTTGGTTCTCTACTGTTATACTATAGAGAGAGAGAGAGAGACAGATAGATGTCATGCTTTTGTGGGGATTTTTGGTCACAGATGAGTTAGAACTGAGGGCCTGGTACTTGCTAGGCAAGCGCTCTTCCACTTGAGCCATACTCTCAGTCTTTTTACTTCTAGTTTGCTTTTCAGATAGTGTCTCAAGCTAACTTTGCCTCAGACCTCATTCCTCCTACTTCTGCCTCCCAGGTAGCTGGGAATTACAGGGATGTACTGACACACCTATGAGCATATTAACTACCCCTCCCCCCAAAAAAAAGGTTTATTTAAACTGCAATCACAGCTTATAGATATCCTTACACTTAATCCTAGTTTTCCCAACTTGAGCTCCTTTTACTTCCATTATTAGCTCTTATTTTTCTAAATACTTTCACAACTATTAGACCAAACTAACTCCAAAGTTAAGCAACATAAAGGCAATTTAGCCTTCCCTTCCCATGCTGCCTCCCTAAACAAGTTACCTGCCAATGTCCCTATGGAAACCAATGACAGATATTATGACATGAGCAAAGTGCACTCTGAACTCCAGACCAATTTTTATGAACTACTGTGAAACAAGCTATTAAATCAAATTCTGAATACTTTTTTTCCCCAAGTATGATATAGACATACCTTACCCCTCAGGAAAAGTAAAAAACACAAAGAAAATAGCTTGGGTCAGAAAATTTCCTACACTGGACACCAAGCTAATCAAGGTAACTTAGTGCTAAGGCAGATGATAGCTCAGGGAAGGGGAAATAGGAAAAGGAATTAATGCAGTTCAATACTTTGGCATATATTTTATACTGTTATATAAATTCCATTATATAAAAATAATCATGCTACGGGAATTTTAGCACCTTAACTTTACAAATGAAAAGCCTGAGACAAAAAAAGAAGGACGTTGCCTAGGACCACATTAGCTAGTAGGTAGCAGTCAGTTCACCAAACCATGCCTACCTGGTTCAAAGCCCTGGCGTCCACACAGTCTCTGGGGTACCAAAATGAATACTGTACTCAAAAGGACTGATTAGTCAAATCCCATTTCCTGCTATTTTTTTCATACTTGTAGTGTGGGACAGTTATCAATGTCAAAAATACATACATATAGATCTCTAAAAGCGATAGGAATAAAAAAATTAACAACTGATAATGAAATTTCTAAAAGAGCTGACTTGGGCATCTGCATTGGTAATGATGACTTCAACCTCCATTTCTGGCTCAATACTGAGGGAAATCATCTGCTTGACAACCTCGCAAGGATTGTATATGTCGATGAGTCGCTTGTGGTGACACATGTTTAGTTGCCCTTGAAGGAAAAGAAGTTTGTCATATGACAACAGTGGATGCTTTATTACAATTAAACTAGTATTATAATTCAAATGCGACATGCTTAAAGTGCTATACAATAAATTAGCAACCAAGCTGCTCAGGAAAATTAAGAGCTAATAGGAAAATCTCTAATCATGGTCTTAGGGGTGATCCTGAGACTCAACACTCTAAACATTACCAAGATTCAAAAAACTGCCCTTTCTCAAATTCTAAACCTGAAAACTTTTACGCTAATGATAAGTTATATGGTAAGGCTATTTACCACATTAAATTTAATTTAAATTTAATTAAAGCAGTAATAACTATTTTAAGGGAAAAACAGGAAACTCAGACAAGGAATACTAACAAAGAAATCTTCTGTAAATCATTCCAATAGGTCAAAAAATGTGATGCATGTTGGCCAAGAGACATTGAATTGTCATATTCTACTATGCAGAATTTACTTAAGGCTTTTTTGTGTGTCTATACTTCCAAATAACAGAAAATAAATCACATTTGTAAGATGAAAAGCTTGTCAACAAGCAAAAGATAATTCGGACAGCCAAAATTTCAATGGTATAATTATAATGTAAGATACTTTTGGAAATAGTGTGAAATGGCATATATATTCCATAAATAAATTAACCAACCTTATTTTGATTGAGAGAATCATTCCGCAGTCTTTGCTTGTTCTTCTGTAATTTACTAGGCATCATCTTTCCAGTTCTGAAGTCAAAACTGCTGAGGTCAACAGTATTTCCCAGGTATCTTGCCAACTGAGGTTTGCTTCTGAACTTCTTTCCACTTGGACTACAAGAGAAACAATGTTAATTGTACAAAAGGCAGTAATAACATTCTACATCTCTGCACAAATCTTTTCCTCATGTATTTCTTTCCCTGCCCCCTTCAACTGTTACAATTTCACAGGTTCACTTTTTAAAGAACTATTATGTTTTGCTTGGTGTGGTAGTTATACCTGTAATCCTAGCTATTACAGAAGGCAGAGACTGCAGACGGAGGCCAACCTAGGCAAAAAATAGTTAAAGACTCCATCTCAACCAGCGGTGGCATGCACTTGCTATTCCAACTACAAAGAAATGTAAGCATGAGGATCATAGCCCAGGCTGGCCTAGTCAAAACTGTATCCAAAAGAGTAAGTAGAAATGCTACAAACTGCATTGAACAGATGTTGCTCAGATTACCCCACTATTAATTCACTCAGCAACTGCTAGAGAACTAGTATAACCTGCAGCAGAGCACAGCATAACTGTTCTTTTTCTTGTTTTCTTCTTTTTTTAATGTATCTTTTATTGTAAAATACTGTACAGAGGGGTTAGTTACATAAGTAAGGTAATGAGTACATTTCCTATCCAGCATTGTTACCAGTCCTTTGTTTTTCCTACCATCACTTCCCTCCCTACCTCTTCCCTCCCACCCCAAAAGTTGTAAAGTTCATTTTCAACATAGTGTCTTGTAATCTCAATGGGTCAACCTGTATATTTCAGCATTTTGTTATTTCCCTTCCCCTCCCCAAATTAGAAAAAATGGATATACAAGATGCAGGGCACAGGAATGAAATACAGTGAAAACAGAGGTTATATCATGGGGGAAGAACATATAAAAGAAACAACAAAAAAAAATGACATAGCTTTAGAAGAGGAAATAAGAATGGCCAATAGACACATGAGGAAATGTTCAACCTCTCTAGCCATAAAAGAAATGCAAATCAAAACAACATTGAGATTCCACCTCACCCCAGTTAGAATGGCTATAATCAAGAACT